CTTGAAAAGATGCGCAATATTTGTCAAAGTAAAAAGAGGCACAAAATTAGCTCAAATTGAAAAGATGCATAAAGTGTACCACAGAAATAGAAAAGATGGACAATGTTGCCAACTGAAAACATTTTACTATTCTTTTCTTTATCATTCTATATCTTATACAAATCCATATAATCAACAATCATCTCCACTATTAAATTAGAACATAATTAATCTTTATTTGATTATTTTTACAATAATTATTTTTATTTTATATGTCTAGAACGAATAGTGAGCCTAGATAACTTTTCTTATATTAGTTGCTCTTAGATTTAAAATTTAAGTTTTTCTTTTTAGCATTAGGATGTTAATATTGTATTTGCAATTAGTTTAAAATCTTCTTTTTCATCAACTATTTTGATTTATCTATAGAAACTTATCTTTTCAAGAGGAACTTCCCTTTTTGTTGTTGTCAAAAGGTGTAGTCATTAGTTATTATTTAATATGTGTTTGATGTATGAGTGTTATTATTTGATAAGTGTTTTGATGAGGTATCCATTAGTTATTGTTTGATGTATGTGTGTTGTGTGTATAATTTTTTTTGTGATGTGTTATATGATGTGTGTATTGGGTGTGTGTTATGATATGTGTATTGTAAGTACTTAGTTATTTTTGTTTATGTTTGTTTGTTGATTTTTTTAATGTTGTTATTTTGATTTTCATTGGAATCCCTTGTTTTTAAACTGAACACTCATTGAAGGGAAGCTTAGGAGAAAAAATTATTTACTGTTAACTTAAATAATAATAGTTTTGCCATCATAAAAAAAGATATTGTTGTAACTTAGTTTTAAAAACTATACTTTTATGTGAGTTTTTTAAGATACCAAAATATTATTATTTTGATTAATGTTTCTCCTAATATATATTGGATAAAATTTGTTTGTGCTGTTTGTCTGTACTAATATTTCAGAAAAATTATACTCCAAACTACCAAAGACTTCAAGATAGGTTAGATTATGGTTTCTTATAATTAAAGTCTGTAATTTTTCTATTTTTCTTGAGTTTGAGAGAGTGTGATTGTAATTAGGTAACCGTGCACAAACACACTAGGGGAGTTAGTCAATTTGTTTTTTAAAATTAATTGTACTATACGATTCTTGAATCAAACTTGATGATTTGACATGATAGTTCCTCCAGAAAAAGTTAATCAAATCATCCATTGGAAAATTTCTTTTGAATTGTTCGTATCATATGAAGTTGGATTCGTACATACGACATCGAGAGTATGAAATGGATATGTACCAATTTGTCCCGAATGAACACACTATTTTTGAATTGATTGTATTGTATGATTTTAGGTTCGTATATATGACATCTAGAGTATAAAATAGGTGTGTACTAGTTCATTCCATTTAAACACCAAAATTTTTTGAATTGTTCGTACTATGCTAACTTGGGTTTGTACATATGACATATAGAGTACAAAATGGGATCATCCACGTTTGTACCATACTAAACATGATTTGTTTAAACAGTTCATACTGTACAATATTGGGTTCGTATAGATGATTCACAGTGTACGAAATGGATTCGTACAAGTTCGTACCAAATGAACTTGTTCAATTTTGAATTATTCATACATTACAATGTTAGTTCATACATACGACTGATAGAGTACGAAATCTGATTCATACAGGATCGTATATTGTTATTTGAATTATTTGTACATATAAAGTACGATGGTACTATACGATCCAAGTACATTCAACTTGACATTTTTAATTTTTAAGATAAGTTTAATTGTCCTTCATATATAAGAGTCCTAAAAATTGACTATCCAACTTTTTCTACAAATTTTCTCCTATGAGTGTTTTGGGAGAATGTTTGGGAGTGAGGATTGAGAGATATTGCAAGTAGAAATAGTGAAGGGTTCACAAGGTTACACAAAAAGTGAAGTTCTCTTTGTATGTTCTTTAAATCTCTGTCATACTTCTTTAAAGACTCTTGAGAGAAGATCTTTGGATGAGATATAGTACTCTACCATCACCAGGAGGGTGAGAAAGGATGCCGGTACTTTGCATCACCAGGAGGGTGAGAAAGGAAGCTGGTACTCTTCCGTCACCAAGAGGGTAAGAAAGAAAACCGGTATTCTACCATCACTAGGAGGGTGAGAAAGGATGTTAGTACTCTGCCATCACCAAAAACATGAGAAAGGACACTGGTACTCTACCATCACTAGGAGGGTGAGAAAGGATGATGGGACTCTATCGCACTAGGGTTGGTGGAAGAGAGGTCATTTTAAGGACTTTTCCACATTGCTGTGGTAGCAAAGGGAGAGTCACTTTGGTATAGTGTAATACCTGAAGAAGAAGTCATTTTTGTGTGGGTGAATTTTCCTGCGGCTAAAGAAGATGATTGAAAGAAAAAGAGAGGTAAATCCTGAAACTTCCTTGTATGCCTATGTCTTCCTATTTGAGTGTGAGAGCCGAAAGAGAGGAGGAGTCTTTTTTGTGTTGTGAGAGATGTTGTGGAGTGATAGTTTCGATCGTGGGGGAAGTTATGTAAGATCGTGGGTGGTTTTGCCAGTTCTCTGAGTTATAGGTCTATGACAGGTAGAGGTCAACAATATACTTATGTATAATAAGTGGGATTTGTTATAAGTTATATCAAAGAAAACTTGAGCATTATTTTGGGGTGATAGATCCCTAGATTTTAATACAATTTAAAAGTTCACTCCACAACCCCCATTGGAAATATGTTAGATGATAGTGAATGAGCATCAAAGGCTTGGTGGTTTCTTGCAAACTTTATATATTCTTTAGTGGAAATGAGAAGAAATTACAATTGATTTTGCTATAAATTTTTTAGATTGAGACAATTCATGAAGCTATATGGGTGATAGTTAACAAATTGAGAAATTCAGCCCATTTTCTCCTTATGTGATAGATTGATTCAACATAGAAAGTAGCATAGTTATACATGTAAGATATTATCCGGCTGCTTGGAATACATAAGTTCTTTTTTTTAATTAGGATGGTAGATTTACCTTTAGACTATGGAATGCTATTTAGGAAGGATTGGGAACCAAGTTGAACTCTAGTAAGATATTTCACCCAAAAATAAATGGCCAGTCTGATAGAATTATTCAAGTTATAGAAGATCATCTAAGATTTTGTGTAATAGTTTTTTGTGGAAGATGGATATATCAAGTCCCCTTAATTGAGTTTTTTATAATAATAGCTTCCAATCCAGTATTTGTATAACTCCTTACGAAGCACTATATAAGCAAAAATATAAAACACATTGTCCAATATAGAGGTAGGTGAGATGAAACTAATGTGATCTGATGTGGTAAATAATACTTCTAAGAATATCAGTTTGATTAAAAATAGATTAGAAGTAGCTGAAGATAGACTTAGGAAGTATTATGACTCAAAGCGTCAAACTGTTGAATTCCAAGTAGGCGATTTGTGTATCAAGTTAGTCCTTTGAAACTAGTAAAAAGGTTTGATAGAAAGGGAAGACATGAACCTTTTGAAGTGATTGGTAAAGTTAGAACTTCTGTCTACAAGTTATGATTGCCATATCACATGTGCTTCATGTGTCAGTATTATGAAAATAAATTTCAGATTTAGAGTAGAGAATTCTTGAAGATGAAGTAGAAATTAGAATTGACTTTGCTTATAGAGAAGAACCTGAATGCATTATAGCTTATAATGTTAGGCAATTAAGAAACTAACAAATCCCTATGGTCAAAGTTCGGTGAAAGTACATGTATGAGAGAGAAACAACTTGGGAAAGTAATAGAGATGAGACAACTTTCTTATATGTTCTAAGTACTAACTTGTATTGAAATATTGAGGATGACACTTTTCTAAGAATAAGAGATTATAACAACTGCTTATATAGCAATAGGATCATTTATAAGGACCCAAATATGAACTATTAGATTTTGCGATATGATAGTGTGGCCTACACCTAAACACCCTATAAATTCAATTAAGCTTTATCATCTACTATTGATACTAAGTTTATATACTAAGCTAGCCATCCACTAACTAAGAGCATTAGTGATCAAACCTTGGATGGACTATTTCACTAATGATACCCCAATGCTTCTTTTGTTTGTATGTTATCTAAATAATAAATTTTTTACATTAAAATTCAATTTCACATCCTAAGAAAATAAATTTTAAATTATCCTCAACATAATATTTTTATCTCAAAATATTCTTTTTTATATAATTCAACCTTTTCAACTCCTACTCTTAGCCAATTACAACAACAACAAATAATATCAAATCTTTATCCTACTACATAACATCAGCAATATGAATTTTTTTTTCTCCATTGAATACTACTAAGAGTCAAATTCTCATTTAAACCTAATAAAAAAATATCATTTCTAGTATTTTCTAATCAGATCTTTTTAAGACTACCTCAATCTTTTTTAACATAAGCAAAATCTAATACATCTACTTTTTTTTACTATATCATTGAAAGGCTAACATTTTATGTGACCAAATCATTTAAGGTAGACATCCTATTCATAGCCAATTATAAAATAAAACCTGTTACCCATAACTTTCCCTCTTTCTTCTTCTTTTTTTGTCATACGACTTGCTCTTAATTTCCCCTACCTTCAGCAAAGAAAACCCTAGAGCTTCCAGGCAGAATGGCCAAGTGAGTGTTTCGGTTGGGTATCAAGGTTAAGGCTTGTTTAGAGTGTCTTTCTTAATATTTTATAAGGCAGCTTTCTAGCATAAAAATTTCTAGTTCAAAAAAATTTTATACTAAAAAAAAAATTTTAAAAAGTATTAGAAAAGTCATCACAAGCCCTAAGCCCTAAGCCCTAAGTAAAAAATTCCCTTTTCAAAATTACCCTTAACACTTGAGCCCCTCCACCGCTTCAGGAGGAAGCGACCTTTATTGACGCTAAAATTAGAATTTTTAACTACTATGGTAAACAAATGAAAATGGATCGTCTATAAGTTGAATATGAACAGTAATTTAATAACAATAACTGCGGTAAATTTAATTGAAACAAAATTTAAAGCACTATATGTTCGAAATTTCTTATGTATAAAAGAAATTAATTTTAGTACTTTCACCTTTTTAGAATTTAGAATATAACAGTATAAATCTCATGCAAAACCAGCATTAACCAGCCGAAAGGATGCAAATTTCTCAACACCCATCGCATTATGCTTTATGCGAGAAAAGTTCTTCTATTAGCTTCCCTCTTGTTCAAACTCCATTAGAAGCTGCAGGACCTTTAAGAAAAGCAGAATGGTGTGACAGCTTCCCCAGCACCTTGCTCAAAGTGCAACTAGTCAGCTGCACAATAGCAGAAAAAGTTAAAAATATCCCTTCTACATGAGAACAATGGTTAATGGAAAGAATCAACGACTATTTCATTGAAAGAAAAGAAACTGTTTTTTTATTTTTTCAGCTTCCTGATAGCGAACTAAGCTTCCTCGGTGATATGGCCTCTTCCTGGCTGATATCTTGAAGATCTTGAACTCTTTGATCGTTGATTCCTCTGCTGAGGTAATATTTTATCATGGTGCTATATGTGATCTTATCAGGTCTGCATCCTCTCTTCTGCATCAGCTCCAACACCTCCCTCATCTCTATTAGGCACCCTGCCCTCCCATATGCGTCAACCAAGCAATTGAAGAACACTGTGTCTAACATTACGTCCGAGTTCTCTATATATCTCAAGACAGCCTTTATTTTATCAATTGCTTCGGCTCTGCCATATGCTCTGATAAGTGAGCAAAAAGTAACACGGTTTGGCTTCATCCTTTCAGACTTCATTAACCTAAAGATATATTCCATCCTTTTCAAATCCCTTGCTCGTCCAAATGCATCAATGACCACGTTGTAGGTGACCAACGTCCATGAGAAGTAATATTTTTGCATGTATTCCATCACTGCACTCATTTTCTTATATTTTCTAGCTTTGCCATAACAATCTATAAGTATGTTAAATGTTTTACTATCAGGGGAGATGCCTGAGCCTTTGAACTTGTCATAGCACTTTTCCATCATTTCAATCTGCCCACTTCCCCCAAAAGCTCGGAGAGTAGCATTCATTGTCCAGATGTCAGGCTTGCAATCATGGTTCCCAAGCATTTCCATTAGCGTAGATTCCATCTCTGCAAATCTATCAGACAGAGAAGGGGAAATATTTTAGAACTGGTCATATTATGTCTTGGAGATGAAAAAGTGAAAGCAGTCCTAAAGAATTAGAGAAACAGTTGCAGCAATTGTATTATGACTCATGTTTATAAGGAGTTTTTTATTTCACAATAAAAATCCCTTGCAATTTGCTCACTAAAAGAGGAGAAATTACGTGCCGAGTCCCAAGCAGGACGTCCAGATTTTGTGAGGGTGCACATCAATAAAATAAATCTATGTATTTGCAGTATATTTACTGTATATCTTCACAAAATCCAGACGGTTCTGCAATCCGGACTCACGCATGTAATAGCCTCTCTTGAAAGAGAGGGCAAAGGGCAGAGGGAAGAGACATCAAGATGTTAATACAAAACAGTCTAACTTAACCACTTTGAAATCCATGATAGACCATAATCTCGTTCCAAATCTTTGGAAATAAAATCAAAACGTATACCTCCCTGCTTTCCCATAAGCATCAATAAGTGTATTGTAGGTGACGGTGTTTGGCTTGATTCCAAGGTTTTTCATGTCCAACATTAGGAACTGGACTTCGTCAAATTTGAAGTAACGCAAGCATGACTTGATGAGAATAGAGTAGGTTTGAACATCCGGATGACAGCCATCAGTAATCTTCATATTTTCAAGAAGGAAAAATGCTTTATCAAAAAGACCGCTCCTGCCATAGGCTGAAACAAGGGCAGTGTATGACTCATGGTTTATGATGCATCCCTCATCAGACATGTTTTGGAACAGTGCATGGGCTTTTATAGGCTGTTTGCATTTGCCAAGCATCACAATTAGCTTAATATAGATGCCTGGATTGGGCTTGTACCATAGTTGCTCACGAAGAAGATCAAACACCTGAGATTGGGAAAAGCAATTTCTTTTGTGGGAAAAGCAATTTTTTTTGTAGAAAACAAAAATTATAATCAACTAAGCATTAAGGAATGAGATTAAATTTGCCAATGAGATCTCATTGTTGGCAATACAGCGTGAACTAGAAACTAAATTCAAGTTACATTTAGATTACTAAAAACAAAATGAAACACTGATATTAGAGGATCTGATGGAAGAATAGGAAATAGGTCCATGCATGCTAACAGTTCATTTTCTATTCTACCATCACATGCTTTCTTGTCAAATGGACAAACTTTATGATCAACAGTCCAGACCTGTTAACCTAAACCTTACCTAGCAATATTAACAAATATCCAAATTGTGATGAAATTTCAGTAATTGATGAAGACAACGTAAAAAAATTAATTTATTCATAGATTTGTCACAAAATAGAAAATGCTTGAAACGTTATTGAAGGGAGAACTTCAAAAATGTTACACATATTTAGGAGGGCAAGTGTAGTATCAATGCATGCACTGTTTAAAATAGTGAAGCCTGAGGTGACCCTTAGCACAATTTCCGGTGGATGCATGGAAAGGCTTTCGTGAGGCGTACGCCTTGCATTAACGTGAGGCATTCGCCTCAATAGAACACAAAAAAATAAATAAATAAAAGCATAAACCTAAGAGTCCTCGGTTCCCCTATCATCTGTTGTTCAACTTCACCTACTACGTAGAGTCTCGAACGATTTGCTAAAACTCATTCACCCTTCGTCGACGACTTTCCCCGTTCGACCGGAAGTCAACATAGTTCGATGAGTCGGACCAGAAGTCACGAAAGGTTTGACAACGCCTTCATCTGCTGCGGTAGTTTCACATGATTCACTAAAAGCTCCTTCGCCTTTATCCACGACTTCCCCTCTTCGATCGGAAGTTAGCACATGCCGACGAGGTTGTATGTTGGATCGGAAGTCATGAACGGTTCTTCAATCTTTTCCTGCTGCACACTAACCATCTTTCTCCACTTTCACATACTACTTTGCCTGTGTTGTTCGACCTCGTTTTTGTTGCGTGAAGGTAAGTTTTTTTTTTAACTTGCTTACTTTTTGTATTGTTGTTTTTACATGATACATGTCTCTATAGATAAGTCACTTTCAATCTGCATCATTACTTTATTGCATATGTTTTCAAGGGATTTTGCGGTTTGGTTTCATAATAATGCCCAATGCCATCTCAACATCGAAGTCCGACGTCATTACAACATTGACATTTCAAAATCATCCCTATTAAAATCTTGATCAATTTTTATATACTATTTTTAAATATGAAAATTATAATACCGTGTCCAACTCGTGCACAGGTTCTAAATTTTTAATAATTAACATGTATCGTGTCCGTGTCATGTCGAATCTGTGTCAGTGTGTCCGTGTCTGTGCATCATAGCTAAAAATTGAATTTTATTTCTTATTAATATTTGATGACCAAATATTTTTAAAACTCAATTAAAATTTGATTATAATTCAGTTAGTATGTATAATTAAAGCTTTTAAGAAAATTTATACTGAAATCAACATACAATATTAATTTATCTTTCTAACTTGATATTTTGATTATAATTAAATTACCAAGTATAATAAAAACTTCTAAAAAGAATTATACTCAAATCGACAAAACTTTTATACATGTACATTCCTCTCTTTCAAGTAGTCTGTCAAAATCGTGTAATAGATCGGGTTCGATTCCAAACCGAGATTTACTCGGCACTGCTCGGCCCGACCTGATGATATTCAACAAAGGTGGATGAGATATTTTGCTAAACTTTTTAATGAAGAGTGTGAAAATAAGATTGACTATAGTGACCTTAGCACCCTAAATGAAAGTAAAGATTTCTGTTTTTATCGGAGTATTAGTAAAACTGAAGTTAGAGAGGCTTTAAATAGAATGAAGGGTGGAAAAGCTGTTGGACCTGATGATATTCCAATAGAGGTGTGGAAATGCTTAGGAGATGAAGGGTAGAGAAAGTCGCCTTAGATGTTTTGGTCACATAAAACATCGGCCTTGTGATGACCCGGTTAGGAGAGTAGAGGTATTAGATTTGACTTGTGTTAAGAAAGGTAGGGGTAGACCTAAAAAGACTTGGTTAGAAAATATTAGGAATGACCTTTCTTTATTAGATTTAAACGAGAATTTGGCTTTTAATAGGACACAATGGAGAAAAAGGATTCATGTAGCCGACCCCACGTAGTGGGATAAAGGCTTGATGTTGTTGTTGTTGTTGTTGTTGTTGCTCGGCCCGACCTGAACCGAACCCGCTTTTGTAAACGGGTCGACTTTTCGGACCTGAACACGACTGGCTTCAAATATGTTTCAATAAAATTTGTTTATTTAATTCAATTTATTTAAATCTAAATCAAATTAAGGTAAGATTTATTTCAATCAATTTAAAATAAATTAAGCTTAATTCAGTTTGGGCAACATAGTTTATTATTTTTTTGAAATAACATTTACTTATTCATAGCAATCTTTTAAAACCCTTCTAAATTAATTAAAAATGGGTCAAACCGGGTTGATTTTGGATTTCCAGGTCAACTTGAATCCTACCCGATTTTACAAATGGGCCGAAATCCCTAACCCTAACCCGACCCGGTTGAATAGAACCTAAAGTTTTGGATTAGGTTCAAGTTGGATTTTCGGGTCATGTCAAATATTAACACGCCTACTTTCAAGTCAATATGCAAATTTTACAGCAACTTGTTATTGTAGTATCTTTTTACTTTTTGAGTAGCATTTATTCTTAGAGTTATGTAGCTTTAATATGCATTGCGTATATTATTGTTATGGAAGTTCAAACTTAGCCTTGAATAGGAGTGTTGTGTCATCCTATGCCCTGAAAAAGAAAACTATGTTAATCGATAGCTCAATCAAATTAAGAATGCATGCATTAATTGTTATAAAGTTCCAATGATTTATGCTCTTAACTTCTTATTGCAAAGTTTTGTAGAGGATGGTTAGAAACAAAGATAAAATTGCGTCAGGTCATTAAAAGGATCCGTCATGGCAATATAATACTCAAGTTGATGTGGGAGGTAGTGATAATCCATACATATATTTGAAATAAAATTACTATAAAAAAATGGTAAAAGGTGATGTGACTTGGATGAATGAGCACCAATCCGGATCACACAAGAATGTCATAACATGTGTCAAATTGCTAACACAATTAGGGAGGAGATCAAAATATCATTAATAAATCTGTAATGTCAAAGCACCTAACACAGAGACAATTTGATTATAGAGTTGATGTGAGCTCTAACTATAGGAGCAAGCGGGATTCATCTTCTTCATTGCAATTCATGTCATATAGGGGTACAAAGTGTCCTATGGATTATTATATGAACATATCAAAGGATAAATAGGAACACGGGCATTCTACTGCACCAAAAATGATCGTAGAGAATGCTAGGGATGCACAGACCTGAGTATGTATGGATATAGGCAGTTTTTTTATGAGAATATTATCTCATTTAATGTTGCAACATCCCTTTTTTATTACAACATGATTCGTTCAATTAGAGCTTACGGAAGAGGGTTTAAACTTCCATTAATGTATGATCTAAGGACATGGATTTTGAAGGAGTTGAGCAATACTGAAAAAAGTATGAGGAAATTAAGAGAATTTGGATCCAAACAAATATTATAATTATGTCTAATGGATGATCAAATGTGATAATAGAAGCTTAATCCACATGTGGATTAATAACCCATATGAAACTATTTTTTTAAGTCATTTGAGGCATCTAATCAAGTCAAAGATGCTGAGTTCTGATAAGTATAAATAATTTTATGTTTTATGAGTTAATTTGTTAGTAAAAACATGTTATTTCAATTGTATTTGTGCAGAAAAATACAAAAAAATTGGCAAAATTTTCAACTATCGTACAACGTCGTGGCTTTGGACACAATACAGTCGTGGCACCATCCTTGACACATCCAGAGCACCCAAATATAGATATGGAAGCATCCAATCCTTGTTTGATAGTGCCGTAGCGTCAGAGTCAGTGTTGCAAAGCCCAAACAACTATCCCAGTGCCACAGTGTCAAAGGAGTCAACGCCATACCTATTAATGGCGAATGGCGCACCACGACGCAAAAGTCCCTTTGAAGCCATGCTGCATAGCGAACGATGCGGCGTGCGCTTTTTTGAACATGGCACAAACTATATAGGAATTATAAAATAATAAGCATGTATATGAAATATCATTACACTGCCACACAAGTTATCATAATCATGAAAAATAATGATGATTATATAAAAGTTCTAGTAAGCAACACCCAAATATCTCATAATTTAAAACATTACAATCATTTTTTTAATAGTCAATGATTTTATAATAATTTAATCTACTCTTATTAGGAATCATCATCATCAACAAATGTCAAAAAACTTCATTATCTTTATTAGCATTGTCTCCTACTTCATAGTCTTCTTCGTCACCCTCTTCATCTTCATTCTCAATAGCAACAACATCATACCTAAATGAATATTCCTCCTCTTTCCCTTTAGATCTCTCTCGAATGTTATAGCTTTATCATAAATACCGGTAGACTTAGCAACACTTGTCAAAGTTAAATCTTCCTCTCCAACAATAAAGCCGTTTTCTTCATCAAACTCATCATCTAATTTTCCTGTTAGCCACTCATTTGTATCATCTATCTTAGTCAAAGAAATATGATCAATCACATCAAGATAATTGAATCTCCGAATCAATGCTCTATTATATTTTACATAAACTAAATCCTTTAAACGAATATGATCCAATTTGCTTTTTCATTTGCTATGAAGCTGTAATTAAAAAATTATTACATTACTATACTATGAACATAACATATATAAATAAAGCAACATATATACTGTAAAATACTTACATGTTCAAAAATACTCCAATTACATTCGCATCCGGATAAACTACATGTTAGACTAAGGACTTTGATAACAAAGCTTTGTAAATTGGGAGAGCTTTGTCCATATGCCAACCACCAATCAGTTGGAAGAAATAATTTTTTTTCAATATTATATACTTGCAAATCAATCTTAATTTATTTTTTATAAATAATGGTACCTGGAGATCGGATAATTCTTTTTCTTACAGCTAGAAGAATATCAAATAGTCCTTCACGCCTAATGCATAAACTTAATTTATTATGATTTTTGTCTTCTTCATCTACACATTTAGATAATCTTCCAATACATTAATAAAGACCATCAGCTATTTTCTTATCCTTGGCAATACAAGGGTTATTGAAGAAATATTAAGGATTTAAAAAATGTGCTGCTGCATGTAGAGGCCGGTGTAATTGCACTTCCCATCTTGTATTAATAATTTTAAAAATTTGATTATACTTATCACTATTATTAAAGCTTGCAGCAATTGCCTCTTTTGTTATATTTATTACTTCATATATGTAAGTCATTGGTGGTTTCTTCTCTTCATCAACCAATCTAAAAACCTTTAATGAAGGACCAACTATTTTTAAGACATAAACTATAGTGTTCCAAAATGATTGCTGTAAGATTGTATGTTAAGATTATTTTGCTTTAGCCTCTTTCGTATAAGGACCCAAAATAAATTCTTCACATATAAACATTTTCTTTAAATTCAATTGTTGATGAAAATGTTGTAAAACCCCCAACAAAATGTTGTTTGTGGCGTTCAATTCCTCATTTTGTTATTTTACCGCAATAACGAGCTCGCGAGCCGAGCTTATCGAGCTGTGTGCTCGAGTTCGAGCTCGAGCTTAAACTCGAGCTCGTTTGCTAAACGAGCTCGGTGAGAGCTCGGCTCGCGAGCTCGCGAGTCGAGCTAGATTGATTATTTGAATTAAAAAATATATATATATGACCGAAGGCGATAATTCAAAATGAAGAAGGCGGGTCATCGGGTGGGAATTCCAAAAACTCAAGCTGCCATTTGGTACTTCCTACTATAAAATAATATATAATGTTACTTTTATTTGAATCTAACCAATGAAAACTGCTGAGCTTGCTTTTACTTTTTTTGGGAAAGGTAAAAAGCTGCAGCTTACTTTTACTTTTTTGGGGAAAGGTAAAAAAGCTGCAGCAAGCTCTTCTCTTCTCCCCATATGAAAAAAAATATATTTTATTTTCGATGTCTTCTCCGATGGCAAGCTCGACGGAATGACGCGGATGATGACAACTCGATCGAAGGCTGCCCGGACCGCCGAGGCTCGCGAGCCGGCTCGAACTCGATAACAGTGGGATGAGCTCGAGTTCGAGCACGCCTTTAGAGCTCAACTCGAGCTTGTGCTCACTTTCTGGCTGACGAGCTGAGCTCAATAGAGTCAAAACTCGACTTGTCTCGTTTACACCCCTAACCTCAGCCTTGATATCAACACCATTTTCCTTATTAATAGGATCAATAAACTCATTCAGAGTTCTATTAAAAACATCTGAATTCTCCAATTCACCTTCTTCTACCTCATCTCTTTCCACCTCCACCCCATATACCCCTAAAATCTCTTCAACCCCACAAGAAGATTCCAACACTTTGAACCTATTATCATCAGATGAAATAAAGCAGGAGCAGGAGTAGAATTACCCTTACCAGCAACAGAAGATAAATCCATACTTCTTTCGTTAGAAATTAAACTAACATGAGCTGCTTCCTTCAAAATAGATCCATCCTCCTGGACAGTTTGATCCAATTGATGCTCTTCAATAATCACAGGAAGCTCAGCACCTTTATGTGCCGATAAACCACTTTGAACATTATCAGGTTCAGAAGATTTCAAATCTACCATCCATTTTTTGAACACCAGCAGCAGACTTGGGTAAATAAGCCTTCTTTTGATTTGCAGCAACACCCTTCCTCCTCCTATGATCTGCAAACACCCAAGGTCCATAAGATGAGACAATATTTTGATCCAATGACGAAGACTTCCCAGAATAATCTTCCTGTGCATTCGGATAGATCACAACACCTCCAACATCTTCCTTCTTATCCTTGGTACAAGCATCAATCATATGACCAATTTTCCCGCATTTGAAAAAAAAAGATGAGATTTTTTCATACTCCGCTCTTTGAAAAAAACGACCATCCATTCCTTCCACCCAAACACCCAATGGAAGTTGCTTGTCTAACTCTACCCACACACATACTCTAGCAAATTTCCTTCTTCTCCGTTGAGACATATCACCATCTATTAAAAGAGGTGTACCAATAAGCGAGGCAATTCTAGACACATTGAGCTCATCCCAACAATAAAGAGGTAAGTTAGGCATTCTCACCCAAACTGGAGATGATAGTCCTTTCAAGTGGTAGAAAATTTAGGATTTCATTTGTCAAGGCCATAATATGATCATTTACAAACCAAGGGCCCCCCGATAGAACTTTCTCCATTGCTTCATAAGAGAAAAAAGAGCATAAATCCATCCTTGTCTGAGAATTGTCAAGTGAAATTTACCAAATACCGGCCATTGTCGCCGTAATTCCTCTGCAATTATATGAATTGGGACCTTATTTCCAAAAACCTTCACCACAATAGAAAGTTTTAGCCTTTCAAAATTGCTACTCACATTTGGTTCAAACAATTTAACTGCAATTCCATCTTCCGCTAAAAAGGATTTGTCATTAGAAAGATTAACTTTAATATATCAACGTTTGGCCCAGGAATTAACAGAGCCTTACCAACCAAAGCATTCACCACAGTCGGAATTTCCTCAGTAGCATTAGTCACAAAAACTTTATCTTGAGCATTAACACAAAAAACTGATGTGTCTTCAGAAATTTTTTTAACGAACGGTCTTCCTCGGATTCAACAGATGGCTTGACTGAGCCATTTCCAAACCTATTGACATAAAGCTTCATACCTAAAGATGATGATTCAAATTCATTTGGCTTGGTAATAAAATCCTTCTGAGGTGAATCATACCCCAAACATTCAATAATCTCCTTTCCTTTACCAGGAACATGAACTAATGAATTAACTGGTATATCAGATGGTTCCTTGATTACCAGCGGACCATTAATGATTTTATGAGACCCAATCGATTTAGAAGATACTTCCAAATCAAGAAGAGGACGGGAGAAAGGATGAGAACCACCGGCAAAATTCCAGCCGCCAGTTTCCGAACGATCCGCCGTCATGAGCGACAAAACTGCCAAGCGTTGCAAAAGAAAAAAATTAAAATTTGCTCTCAATAGAAACGAGAGCTTCTCTCACTAGAAATGGGAGTCAGTTCATCACACAAGATTTACTAAATCTAGATTTACAGTATTATTAATCCTACTTTAGCCAAACAGCGTTTTGGGGGTTCATTAGAAATCGACGAAATATCAGATACATGCTGAAAGCCTGAAACTGGACCCTCAAAAGCAGAATTAATTGCAATCAGCTGTCCAAAATATTAGTAAAAGACAAATAAAACCTTGAGAGCAGATTCCCAGCGAAGAGCTGTAATCCTCTCATGGAGTGCCTCCAGGACGGTCCGAGGAAGGAGCTTCCTCGAATTTATCGGCCCCATCTTCTCAATGATGTCCTTTATGGCCTCCCTCCTAAGAATTACGGAGATGGCCTTCTGCGAAGCTATTTTTCGGTTCACCTCATCCTTCCGCTCCCACGCCTTCATCTCCCTCTCTTTATCTCTCTCTCTGTCTCCGTTGGACCCTCCGCCGCTTCTTTCGTGCTTGGACTCGGCAGAAGCACCATACGCTGCGGGCATTCTCACGATGGCAAACACTGGTCTATTTTTCTGGCAAGCTCCAAAGGTAGACGAAGGGAAGGGGAGCGAGTAGAGCAAGCAGTGCGCAGGTGAGATGGATGAGGTCGAAAAGGCGTCCATGCTTGCCACCGGTGATGCCGCATTTGCCCTTTATTCCGCTGGTGAGTTGGACCGGACTCACCGGAGAAATTATTAAGTGCGGAGTCCAGTGGGGTCCGGAGTCGAATCCTGTTCTGTTCTCCGGATTCCAATCCTGTTCTGTTCTGATTGCCGAAAAAATAATAATTTCTCTTGGTGGCTGAGGGTATAAAAAAATTATATTAATAAATTCAAAATTATTCTTCAAAATTATTCTTGAATAATATTTAACCCTATTGATATGTTTACCAAGCTAGAGCGGTAGAGATAAGGAAATCAATAAATATGAAGAGTTAAGAAGAAGTTAAAATTTGTCTGTGAATAGTAAAAAACTAGGATGATGTCATAAGTATACCTCCTAAAAGAGTTATAAGAAAGGTTGTGCCTATAAAAAATTAAAATAATATATGAAGTGATAGGTGTCAACTGATACATACAAATGGATGGAGCTGAAAGGTGTACACATTAGCCCTCTGCTTCTAACATGGCTTGAGGAATCCCCTAGCAAATAACTTGGAGGGGCCCTCAAGAATGAATGCTTTGGGTGAGTCATCAAAAGTAAGTGTTTAGAGTAGTCCCTTGGGTTAAAGCAAAAGTCTTCTTAAAAAAAAACTATAATTTGAGGATGAATATAGTTGGCAGAGTTATGATCATTGGCTTTATAAGTGCATACTTCCTATGACTTGGATAGGGACATCCAAAATACACCGATGGCCTTAGTGAGTATAACCACTGAGATGATCTTGGATCCTTTTAGGGCAAGTGTCCCTTAAGGCAAAGGCCTACTTAGTTGAGTCCTCTAAACAAACTCACTACAAATGAGCACGTCCTTGATCTAATTATCTGGGGGCTAGCTTGTATGTTATGAGCTCTACTGGGATGAATATTTAATTATTTCTAGAATAGATCTTGTGGCTGTGCCTCAAGGAGAGACTTCATTTAGGCAAGCATTCGTTTGAGTAAGTGTTCCTTTCAGTCACACTATTTGGACAAGAATAAGTTTAGATACATGTATGTTAAATACATGGGCATATATAGACATACATTTAGTCTTATGAGTTACATACATGTGTGTGATTCAATCACTCTTCCGTAATACAACTTGTGAAAAAAGGATAATTGAATTTAAGAAAAATTATTTACTATCTTCACAAAACAACAAGAGAAAGTAAATTGAAATAACTACCTTCCTTTGACTATTATCTCAAGAGGAGCCATTTTTCCAAGATTCTCATAATAATATTAATTTAACCCTTGCACGATCTCTAATTATAAATAATGATGAATGAAATTGATAGGGCTACACTCCATTCCCTTTGCCTTAGTTGTGTTCTTATAGCTCACTTGGGAGATGGAAAACATTAGTCATTCAAAATATGCTAATATAGATAGATTAAATTTTAGGAAGGTTCTTCTCCACAAAAGTAAATCTGTGGAGGCTGAGGGGGGATGTCCAACCAATTGCTAAAGAGGAGAAGAAGAAGAAGAAGAATAAGAATAAGAAGAAGAAGAAGAAGAAGAAGAAGAAGAAGAAGAAGAAGAAGAATAAGGCAATAGTGATTGGCCAAGTAAAACAACAAAGAGTGATCCGAGTAAGGTGGTGGAGAATGAATCTAGTGAGGTGAGGAGATAGAGCATGTTACAATGGTAAAAAATGAGCCTAGCAAGGTGGAGGTGATTCTATCTGAAATATAATTACATTCCCCTCATTGAAAGGTACACTAAACAAGTCTCTATATTACAAGGAGCTCATGAAGTGCTAGTCATGGTGAGTTTTGTCCTTAATATGGTGGTTTCGACTCCCAAGGTATCTCTTAATTACTTTTTTGTGGAGCTTATTTGTAGCCATAGCCCCATGCTTTAAAACATGTTTTAGCCTTTTTTGTGGAACATATTTTGATGATTTAAAACATTATTGGTTAGAACACTTTTTGCTCTTGTTTTTATATTTATTACCTTTTTTTGTGTACAATTGATGCTTTAGGTACAACAAACACAAAGTTAAGTCAAAGATGCAAACTCAAGAACTTGCAGCATTGAGTCTAGTTTAACTTGTAATAAGTGTCTAAATTCCATTTTTTTTTCTTTGGTCCTTTATATAATTATTTGTTTGCTGGCAAGACAACCGTGCAAACATTCCTGAATGAGGATGGAAATTCAACACTTGAATTCTCTGTTAAATCATACTGTACGTTTTGTTAATCCATAAAATGAAATCTAGTGTTTAATTAAATTAACTTTTGGCATAACTAAGCATGCTATATGACGAGTAACAGTATAGGACAATCAATTATTTTGATAAAACCCCATTGTTTAATCTAATTTTATAAATTTAGATAAATTTTAATTTTAAATTTTGAACTAGTCTCATTATACAAAAGATTCATAATATATTATTATTAATTAATTTTGCCTAATTTGGACAATTGATTATGTAATTGAATCAGGATCAAATCTTGATTGACAATCATATTGTGTGACACAAATCATATATTATAATTTAGCAGAACATGTTGACGAACCTTAGTTTGTCTTGGATGATATTTGATTCAATATGGTTGAACATATTGTACGATTACTTTTCATAAAGTATGATTTTATAAAACTCAAAAATGAATGTTTAACAAATTCGATAGTATGATACATACTTTGTACTATATGATTTAAAAAAAAACCACCACGGAAGGGGCCTACATATTAAAATAGATAAAAATACACATCCTTAGAGACTCCAAAGCTCGCTAAAAAAAAATAATTGAAATAAAACCTAAGAGCCTCATGATCCATTTAAATACAAAACCATGAAAAAGTAAAAGGAAGACCAGCTCAAAAAGAAACCAACAATGAAAGAGACAGATAAAAATACACTAATAGCCTAGTAGTCAACCATCAGATCCAGAGCAAAAGTGCCATCCAAATTCAAAGACCAACCCGCACAAAATAAAAGGAAAGAAACTACACCAAAAAGAGAGATGAAAACCCCACCAACCAAATAAAATAATTCTTCCAAAGCAGCAGCTATCAAACTAAACCCAAAAAAACTATTTTTTGGATATCCTATTTCTTCGTTTACCCACCCGAATGATAGTACCTCGCATACCACCATCCTGTTCAAACACTTCCTCTTCACATCTTTAGAAGGAGAAGAAGAAGTGCCTTCAAGACAATCAATTTGCACCTTAATATTTCCCCCGATCTAACTCCCACATGGGCATACAAGGCTTAGCTAAAATAAAGCATCTGGAACATCAACAAGTTGTTTATTCATTCCCAATCCCATAGAGAAGACTGACACAACCAGATCAATAGGTGTCATAGGAGAAGTAATAGAAGGATCCAACTAACTAGAATCAATGTTCACCACCCCCAAATTAATAACACAAAGTTCTTTATCACCCACATTCATCAATGTATTACCAAAAACACCTTGAGCCATATTAAATTCATTCGAAGAAGGGTCAACATCCAAAACACCATGAGACACATTACATTCATGCGAAAGAGACTCAACAACCACTGCCCCAATCATGTTGGGGACCAACGATTTAGTTCTAACTAAAGAGGATTAAATGCCAATATCAACATGAGCGATAGAAGAAACACCCTCTTCCAAATGAAGGGGTAAAACCTTCTCAGGTTAAATAGAATCAACTATGGGGTTCTCACCCGAAGCAATAGGGACTGCAATAACAACATTTTTATCACCCCCATCCAAATCAAAACCAACCACATTAGGCACAAGAATATTAGCTAAAGGAGTATTAACAACTTCAGTAGCGATTGCCTCTTTAACAGAAGGAGCAACACCCAAATTCGGATATAGGGTCAAGCAAAAATCCTTAGAATGACCCAAAGATTTTCAATGAAAGCAATACAAATGAAATTTATCCATTTCAACCTATTGAGCAAAACCATAAATCTCTGGCCCAAGCCAAACTTGAGAAGCATAACATCTAATTCAACTAATATGTGTGCCATAGAGGGTCTCGAGCGATTACTAGTCACACTATCCATTTGCAAACGTCCACCAAACAACGACACCAAACCATGCAGAATTCGCGGGGGGGGGGGGGGAGAAAAGAAACCCAAATAACGATAATGAAAGATTCCACATTTATGCCAAAATGTGGGGTCAATTTGAAAAGCTTCAAGATATAGTTGCACACGAAATAGGAGCGATGAGAGAAAACTCTATACTAATCTAATCATTGACAAGATTAATCAGCGCATTTTTAGGATTCAGTAAAGTAATCAAAAAATCCCGAACAAGCTTTAGGTTAAAGAAAATTTTTTGAATTATGTCAAGCAGCTGGCGATGGCTGGAAAATTTTTTTACTAAAGCAAACTCGAAAGGTAAACAAAGAGACACCATTTCCTCATTAGATATAAACAAAGCCAACAAACCATGGTGAAAAGAAACTTTAACCGAGGGAAAAGCTGGTGAAGCTGACTTATCAGATAAAATATCTCTAAAAGATCTAGATTTAATTTTATCATCCAAGAAACTGGGGTCCAATAATTGATTCTCAACCATAGTAATGGAAACCATAAAAAAAACTAGCAAATATTAGGGAATAAATATTAACCAATGATAGTGGTAGATGGAGGTGAAAGGCCCAACAACTATCGCAAAAAAAAGGGACTGCTTGTGGCATTGATACGTGCAAACAGAGGTGCCTAGGTCAAGAAAATTGAACTAAGTGTTGACAAAGGAGGATGCCAAATGCTACGCTTGACGAGGGGAGGATGTCGGGAGGGAGTATTATAACCTTAGCCAAATAGTTAAGAGCTTTTTCTCTCCACTGCCTACTTCCACCGTTCATAGAGAATTGGATAGGGTTTTTGAGAACTCATACCCTTTTGATTTCTTTGACAAAGAGGGATTTGAGCTCTACCTTTCGTGACTACCAACCAATCTTTTGGCGGTATTCTCCTCAATGGTACAGGTCACTCTTGCAAATAATGGGAGGCCGATGGCATGGCAAAGTGGTCGATGGAGGGGCTTTGGCTTCCTCTTGGGCATACGAATAGGGAAAGACCAAGAGATGGAGGTCTTGATGTTAGATGCTTCTTGAGTGTGCAAACAAAAAGAGTATACTTTGTACTATATGATCAGAAGAACATAATTAAAATTTAG